TTATAGCTGCACTTCATACCCTGGGATTAGCAGACCAAGCCTTAGACAAATTACATTGTAATGCATATTAGTCTGAGGACAGGTGATCACCCCTTTCATGGCCAACTCATCATCTCTTGATTCCTGTGGTGGGTGGATCCATCATACTGGATCTTGTTGGTTGGTTGTTTGGTTTTTTTTTTTTTTGCTTTATTAATAAGGTAATTGATATGCTGCTGGTAGCCCACATCAATTGTTTTAGTATTTATTAGGTGCTGCATTTGGTGGATGTGAAATATCATTCCAATTGAGCTTTCCCTTTTGGTGCAGCATGAGCTGTTGCTTGTTGGGTGAGGTTTCTGTAAACTGCTCAAGGTTTTTCCTGAGGGCTGGAGTATACCATGGTGAGAGAAACAGCTTGGTGAGGTTTTTTCTCTTGTCTATTTTGAAAGAAGTGATGTATTACTGTATTAAGGCTGTCAGCCACCTGCTGAAGTTGAGGAACTCAACTTGATCATGCAGGCAAATAAATGCACAAATAGCTTTTATTTTTATCCATTTTTTTTCTTGCACGTGTGCATATTTATGCAGTCAGTGTTGTGGCCAATATTTTAACTTTGGCAGGGGGTTTCTGAGCAGCAGATGTGAAAATAGGGTAGGTTCTTGTACCTCTCACTGCTGGCTGAGAAAGGACAGGGTGCTCTAGTAGAAAGTGTGGGCTTATAAACCATTTGTGACTTAGGTACAGCAACTACTTTTGAATTCCTGTGCCAATATATATGGGCAATTTAATTTTTTCCTCACTGAAATAAGCATTCATGTATCACCCTTCTGAGATGTGCACAGACAGCAAGAGGAGCCTCTGCCTCAAGAGGAGAAACATTACAAAAATTTTTGTTGCCTTTCCCTTACTCCCCCAACTTTGGGGAGGGACTCATTCAAGTTGCCCATGTATAAACAGGAGCAGAGGAGCCTGATCCAAAAGGTGAGGGAAGAGTTAATGCTTATGTTAAAGCCAAGAGAGATCAGTCATAGGGAGGAGTAAACATTATCATGTTAATAATCACATGTCAGGTGTCTTTCAGTCTCTTGAGTCTTACAATGTCCACAATTGTAGGCATTCTGCTATTGTTTTACAGCTGTTAATGAGGAGGGTAAAAGCCAGATTTATGGCTGCTTTATATAGTTCATAACCTCAATCGCCAAGAAATAACAGCATTAAAGATTCAGATAGTGCTTGGCTAACATGTAGAGTGAGATGGCATGAGAAGTTTCTTGCCTCACTGGGCTGGTGTCAAGTGTAGCATTGCCTATTTCTTCTTCTCTTGCTGCTCCAGTTTCCCAGGGCAGGGCTGCGGCTGAGACATAACAAAGCTGGAATTGTGCTCTGCTCTCCTGTTCAGTTAGGAAAGAGAGCAGGACTTAGGAGATGGCAGGGAGGGGAACCTGTGTGCTGAGGTGGTGCAGGATGTCTCCAAAGCCCCAGATGGATGTTAGGCTGGTCTCCTGTTTTTTGTCCTTATTTTAAGAAAGGTAAGGATCTCACAGGTGTGGTGATTATTAATTTGTTATAGTTTGGAGTCTGCTACAGGAATGCAAGTAACTATTCAGCTAATAATCAAACCTTGCTGTGCTTTGAGGCAGGCAAACTAATGAAGTACCAACAAATGGGAAGATGAGTGAAAAAAATGATAGTGCAGCCTGAGTTTCCTGAGTTCAGGAAACTTCCCATTTTTCTTCTGCTTTCACTGTGTCAGATGTTTAGAAGTGTCAACATGACTGAGGACTAGCTAGAAAGCTTACGTGAGGCACAAACCTGATGCTGAGCAGGAAAGCACAGTGTTTTGGAATGTGGGGAGGTCTAACATCTGTTTGTAACCTTTTGTCACAAGTGGAAGGGATTATAGAATGACAAATAGTGATTCTTTGCCAATGGGCATGGGTTCCATTCAGCATTGCACAAAGCATGCCAATTAGATTTAATACAAATGTTCCCCCAGAAAGATCACCTTGATTTAATTTTTTTTCAGATGCATAAAGTAGAAATGAACTGAGGCTCTCTGTTTGTTCTTTAAAGACTAAGTACTGTATTTCTAGCTCTTGGCAGACATTGTCCACAAGTACTTCATGTTCCATTGGGCTTATGCCAATTTAATGTACCGTGTGTACTGAAAGCATCAAAACCAGACTTACTTTAATTTTAGATTTTACAGTTACTGTTATTGATTTTTCTTAGAGCTGTTCCATCCAATCTGCTATCATCTTAATTTTTTTCCCTGCAGGATTTTGGGGCAGAACCATGACAGTCTTTATTTGTGTGGCTAGGGAGTGTTCATGTCAGTGAGAGCTGTAGATCAGACATCTCTGCAGTGGCCAGACTCTCCATTTGTAGAAGCTAAATCAGCACACTGCGTTATTTGTGAGCTCTTTCCTTCAGTACTGACTGGTATGTTGTGACTGAGGACAGTGTTAAAAGCAGAGTCTGTCAACCGTCTTTCAAGAAACTTGATTTTAATAAAATCCTGAGACAGGAAGCTGAACATACCAAAAATTGTGAACTTGGATTTTTCAGCACTTCCATGTTGTAGCAATAGAAAGAAGCCTGACAGAAAGACCTTGGACCCCAAAGAGACAAAGGGATGAGGTAGGGGAGAGAAGCAGAGTACAAGTAGGAATTGTGGTAGGTAGACAAAGAGAGGAAGGAAATAACTGAGGGAAGGAATAAGATCAAGTGCAAAACTGCCAACCAGTATGGGCTGGAGCATTTGTAATGCTACAGTCCTTAGGTCTGCTGATCCCTGCCCGACAGCTGTGCCTGCTGGCCTCAGATTTTGGCTGTTCATCTTCTTATTTTCAACCCTCAAGGCCAAGGGCTGTGCATAAGCATGGCTTCTGGCCAGGTGGCTCATAGCACTCAGAGTGGAACAGGATTCCCCTCCATTGTGTTGATGTGGAGCAGCATGGCATTTGGTGAAGCCTGGGTTTTCCCTTTCACTTCTCCTGCTGAGGCTGCTTTTATTAAGTGGCAGTCTGGTCTGGTTTCTGCTCTGCAACTTTAACAGCTCTAGCAGAGGGTAAAGCTGCTCAGTGCTTCAGAGACCTACATCTGAGTGGGGAGTCTGTCTTGATAGAGACTTAAAATCACAATGCCTTCTACGTTCCCTGTTAATAATAATCCTTGTAGTTAAAGTATGTAGGAATTCCAAGTTAGTTTGTATTGTAAGCTTAACCATGGCAGGTGGTAGTTTTCTTAGATCTCACTCTTATGCTGAAGTGTACTAAGCATGCTTTTAAGTCAGGTGTCTAGTTCTCCAGCCATAGTTTATATTTCAGACTTTGCTTAATCTCAGAGATGCTGATTAGTCTTTGGGAATGTTACTTAAGCTTTGACAATCTTCAGATATTATCTCACAATCTTCAAAGACTGTATTTTGTGACCTACACCTGTCTTCTCATTCCACTCCGTGTACTGGAGTCTCTGTTGGGGGCTGTTCAGTTTCTGCAGGTTGTCTTTGCCTGGCAGTGTCAGAAGATGCTTTCTCATCGTGCAACCAAGTGACCAGTTCAGAAGAATTGCTGGTGGAAGAGTTTTCCAACTGGACCATAACCTGTGTTAATGTTGGTGTATCCCAGGTTTTATTGTAGCAACTGATTATGGAGGTACCTTGCATTAATGTGAGCAGACAAAATACTGCCTTGTGAAGAAAAGAAGTGTACAGGAAATGACTAAGCCTTGATGAAGACAGAACTATAGGTTGTTCCAAGTGTTTTTGTAACTGAGACTGGATTTTAATTTTTTCATTTGCTGCTTACTGTACTTTTTTTCAAGCTTAATTTTACAACATCCTTCATATAAGCTTAGTTTTAACTTCATATGCATGCTAATAAGATTATTGCTGTACTAAGCAGTTTTTTACTGATGACTTTAGCTTCTGCCAGTTAAAAGAACAAAAGTTGAATAGGAGTATACAGAAAACAAAGTTAGCTCTAGTAATAAAAGGGAGTAAATTTTCCTTGTTTTTAAAGATTTAACATAGCTTTTAAGTACTGCTCACAAATAAATTCTTATTTCCTGTTACCTCACTATTAATTAGTCCATGCATTTAAAAATACACAATTTTACTTTTTTTCTGGAAATGAACACAGTCATATGGAAGGTGGTCCCAATTCTTGGTTCCTGTCATCTGTTCAGGCACATTCGTAATAGAATAAATCCAGTTGAGAAGCAGTTTGGAGGGTGGGTTTGTAGAAATCATGGTTGTGCAGAACCTTGTGCCATGTAGCTGCTGGGCCACAGGCAGGCCTGCTGCTTTTGCAGGCAGCAGTGCTTTATGCCACCTTAAAATTGTTTAACTGCAGAATGTGCTCCTGCTATATGTTAGCAACTAAGTTCAGGCATTCCTGCAGTCATGGGAATAGGTGATAAATAACAGCCCTGTGATGCAGGGCTTCTGCCTTTGCATGCAAAGCTCATGCCTCTGTGCTAGTGGCCAGGTTTGTCAATGAAGAGAAGAATTTGGAAGGGAACTCTGGAGTTTATCTGGTCCAACTCCCCTTACTCTAAGTAGTTTGAAGTTAAAGCCAGCCCTTTCATCCCTTTATTTTGCATGGTTTTGAATAACACACAGCCAGGGTGTCTGCTGACAGCACTTGTCTAATGCTTACCTGCAACTGGCAGTGTTCTGTAAATGTAAAACTATCCAGTATAATTCCATAACATATTCTTACATTTCAGTAAATTCTGAGTGCACAAACTGGCAACTGAATTCCCTCAATAATGTTGAAGAGCTGAGCATTTGAGTTGCTTTGCTCTAGGAGTACTGACTGGAGAGAAGGGTGTATGCTGTGTTCAAAGACAGGTTTATTCCAGGAGACACTGAGCCAGCCTCTAGGAAACCTTTCTTTACAGTGGCTGTGAGTGACAGGTGGATCTCCTACCTGTGCCTCTCCAGCTGACAGTTCTCAATTGCTGATGTGGATGGGGCTTAACCATGTGGTCTCACTCTGGCTTTCTCTCGCAGTGTTGAAAATCGTTGTCCTGTCTGCACTAGCAGCTAACTGAGCTCAGCTCATTGCTGACAGCCACCACCATCAGCAGGTCCCTTTCCCTCTGCGCGGGAGGCTTTTCATTATGTACCGTAAATCCAAGTGGAAGCGCGGGTACAATCTCGAGGGGCTTGGACACGGTGAGTTTGCATCTGCACAGTTGTTCTACAAGAACAAACTTTTTTACTTGCACATGAACTTCTTTTCAAATTTTTCATCTAGAGAATTTGGTAGCTACTTCTAGAATTCCTTTCAAATAGAGCTTTTATTTACCTCTGGGAGATTTTGATTGAGATAAGCTGCTAAAAGTACAAGTGTAGAACAATACAAACTACTTCTATTGTCTTGCTGTAACTATCTGTAAAGGTATTTGTTCTCTAATCACTATATTTTTTTTTTAAAGAAGTAGAAAAGAGTGCTTTAAGCAGTTCATTGGATAATCTCTCTCTAGAGCAACCATAGCTTTTATAAAAGGCAGGTAATTATGTTAGTGACATGCCTTCTAAACTGTGCCAAATTTACTTTCTCATGCCCTAATGTTGGATTTCCACCTAAGGTTATTTGTGGAGGCGCTGATACAATGTTTAGTGTCTGATCTCACCTGATGAGGGTGATGCCTTCTCCATCTCTTCTCTCTGGACTGTGCACACACATAGCTCCCTCTCCCCGGATCTGAGCTATGCAGTCCTTGGCCTGTCTTTATTCCAGACCTGCTGACCAGAGTTTTTTCGTGAGCTGAGTTTTCTCACTAACTCAAGAGAAACAAATTAATTGTGGGAGTTTCCTTAGAGGTTCAGGGAGCTGTGCCTTAAGTTTTGTTATTAGACTGACTGTATATCCTTCTGATGTGGTAGGCTTAAAATTCTTGCATTGCTTTCTGTAGCTTTGTATCTGTGCCTTGTTCTTTTTCCTTGGCCCTCTGGTTTGAGGACAACAGCTGCTGCCTTCTCTCAGTATTGCTAGAACCAATGTCGTAATGTGTTGTGAGAACATCAACTTTACCTTGCTTAGACCAGTTTTCAAGTGGAGTTAATGTTAGTGAAATTGAGAGTACTGTGATTAAGGCTGTGATTAACAGTGAGAGGGCTTTTGGCATATAACTTTGAAAATGTTTATAGTTTTATTTTACATCTCAGGGGATTGGCGCAAATAGGCATGAGATGCTAATCATAATATTTTTCATGATCAAAGCTATCAGTACTTCAGTGGCTGCTATTTCTGTTTCAACTGCCAAAGTCCTGAAACTAGTTATGAGCAGTCAGTATTGGTGGTTAACAGCCTGAAACATTTTAGGTATGGGAAATACCACTTCATTATTCAGCATGAGTTTGCTGACTTGAATTCATGCTGCATCTTTATTTTAGTTTCTGGTCAGCCCTGTATTTCACTGTGCCTCTTGATTTTCTGTCAAGTTTCTATCATGAGTGAATTCTCAGTCCAGAATTCCTTAACTCTGCCAGTATGTTTCAAGGGGAAGCTCAAGAGGTAGTGCAGTATGGTCTAGACCTTTAAAAGTAATATAGCTGTTACAGCTTTGTTTTATAAACTTGAGAGTCTTGTTGGAAAATGCATTAGGAAGAAGTTTCTATCTAATGAAACATGGTGGTTAGAGAGGACTTGCTGCGTTCAAGTACTTGTACATAGGCCAAAAACACTTGGAAAAACTCTAGGAAGAGCTGTGAAACAGTGTTGAAACTGGTGGCTTCAGAAGCTGGAGGGTACCTGGCATTTAAGTGGTTCATCTCTTCAGAGAAGCAGTACACAAATACTATACCTGACAGTGAACATTGTCTCTGATGGCAGTGTAATTATTTTGAAGTCTGGGGCTTATCCAGAATCAGAGTGGTGAATTAAATTACATGTCCAGCCAAGATTTGCTCTAGTACAGTCTTGCATAGGTAGGCTGATAGTGATCTTGCTTATGCTGCTGAATTCAGTTGCCTTCAGTGCTGCTGAATCCTTACTTAGCTGCATAATTGGACTCAAGTATCAGGTTTGGTGAAGCGACCGGGTAGATGATGAAAAATAGAATATGGCCTTCAATTTCTTAATTTCTTTTCCTTACTTAGCATGCCTTTTGGTTTTTTTTTGGGAACAGTGTGCTTAGAAACAAAGTCACTCAGTACAATTGATTGTCTGCTAATCAAATGAGCTACAAATCTCAGGGGTTTTTGTGTGAAATATTTGGAAGGTTTAATATAGTAATAAAAAGAGAGAGAGGGAACTAAGTCTGCTGCTTTGTTACTATGAGGGGCAATAATCCTTCCTTGCTGACCAGTACCTTAGCTGTTCCAGCCATGGCATGATGTAGTTTTATTTTTTTAACAATGGCTTTATTTAGATTATCCTTTTAACTAATGGTTTTGGCACGCTTTAAAAAGGCACTTTAGGAAGAGTATCTTATTGCAAAATTCTAATCTGGGCTAAACTTACAGGCTGCAAGTATTTTTACTTTTTAAAATTTAATTAGAGACTCTTCGTTTGTGACAGTAAAAACCACGTTTGGAGCATGTTGAGTTTGCAGGCAGTTACCTGAAAGGCTGAAGTTCTGTCAAAGGATTTGGTCTTCTGTATGCTGGAGCTGGTTTCGATTACTCTGTGCATTTGTGGTTGAACAGAGATTTCATGTTGCTTTCAATTAACAAGAAAGCTTTTCTTATGATCTTTGATTTCAGTTGGCTACAACTTCTCTGGGAGTTTTGACTGTAGTATTTCAATGCTCCTTTGTGTTAGGCCTTCTGTTATCTGCTTAACTTTTGTATTCTGGACCTTTTTTTTTTGCCAGTAATGTTAAATCTTGCTGCTCATAGTGGTATTGTTTTGGGGGTGAGAATTGCAGCCTTTCTTTTTCTTAAACAATTGTTTATGGTTTAGGTAGGCTTCTATATTAAAAGTTAAGGAATAAGCACCATGCTGTCTTTGGAAAACAAAGACATTTTATTTAAATGTATTAATAAAATAATTAGTAAGTAATGTGTGAGGATTTTCATATTGCTGAATGAGGGAGGATGACTGGAAGAGACAGGACTAGCTATGAAAAGAATTCCAGTAATTCCTAAACTTGCACCCCTTTGTGTTGGGTTCAGTCCTCTTTTTAAAAAGGACCTAGAACAAGTAGAACATGTAGTCAGTCCTGCAGCTGGGCTTTGGCAAATCCTAGTACAGCAAATGTGAGGATGCTTAGTTGTAAGTAGTCAGTCCTGCAGCTGGGCTTTGGCAAATCCTAGTACAGCAAATGTGAGGATGCACATTTTTAATAGCAGAAGGAGTGAAATTCAGGTCTCTGTCACAAAATGGGGAATGTGCTGCTGTTCCCAAAAGTGGTGCTTTGCTCCACGGGCACCAAGCTCTAACTCACTGTTCTTGTTGGGCAAGTTTCAGGGCTGAAACTTTGTGTCAACAGCTACACGTCTGCATTTTGCCTATAATATTTACATCAGTCTTTTGAGTAAATGAAAAAAGTATATCTTATTTCTGATATGAGAGAGCTGCCATAGCTGTTAGATTTTAAGCTTAGGCCACAAATTGGTTTTGAAGTGAAGACTTTTATAGAAATTGTTTCTTGTGCTTACCTGTTTTTATTGTTGTTGGGTTTTTAAAATTTTTCTGCAATTTAAATTAAGTGCCTCCCTTCTTAAAAGGAAAAAAAAACCCCTCAGCTTGGAAGTGATTACTAAAATAAAAATGCTTTACCTCAGAAACTAATAAAATTACTGCAGCTCCTCATGTTGGTATACTCCTCGTGTTGGTTTTGTAACATTGTACAGTGTTGATAACATGTCAGAGTGGCTGACCTTGCATCTTTTTTGTCCTAGCAGTCATGTTTGCACACAAGGAAAACTATTATAAAATTGAGGAGAGCAAGCTTCTGACAGTGCTCTGGTTATTTGTGTGGTTCAAGGTTTGTTTTGGGGACATTTAATCCACATGCTTCTATCAGTGAAATGCTAAAAGTGCAGAATGACTTCAGTGTTCTAAAAAGTTGTGGTACGACAGTGGCTGGTAATCCAGAGAAAGTGTTTTCTTTGTGTTTAGAGAATATCTGTTCTGCACCTGGGGTTGATGTTGGAGTGAGACTGAGCATGCTTGAAAATTTGTTCTGCCACTAAGTTTCACTGAGGCAGCACACAGTGAGAGCTAAAGGCAGCTTTGATGATCAGCCTGACTGACTTGGAGTTTTCATCAAAACTCACCTGACACTTCCTAAAGTCATGCTGGGTGTCTAGTGTTGAACTGGCTCCAATGACTTTGCTGTATTTGAAGTTCTTTAGATTATTTTAGTATTTCAGTTGAGTTGTTAATTACATAGATGATAATCCTTAAATGTTTGAGGGTTTTTTTTGTTTTGCTTTTTCACTTTGAATTGGCGTTGGTCCAGAAGCTTGAATGTATCAGACATCTCCGACGAATGCGGGTAGTGTCTTATTAACTTGTGTTAAGGTTGTCCATGACATTTCATTACCCCTGAGCCTTCTGCTCTACAAAGGGATGGCAGGAGGCATCACTAAGCACAAGAGTAACAGATGACAAGCAGCAAATTGAATGTTTCTACAAACCTCTATGAATAGGTGTGAACGAGGCACCGCTGAGCTGTGAGTTGCTATTAGCTTTGTGAAACAATGTTCACAAACAATATCAGTCCAGACAGGGCCAATCTAGCCCGAAAAGCTTGCAAAGATAACTTCTGAAGAGCCAGATTTCGTGGAATGAATCGGTCTGCACTGAATGGCTGACTGAAAAGGGGCAAGTGAAATGGCTCCTCCAGACTAGACTGTTACTGTTAACTCTGCTGTGCTGGAAAAACAGGGCCCAAGGTTTCCTTACATACAGGCAGTGTATGGGTTAAAGTGGAGCCTTCTCTTAATCTCTTTCCCAAGGTTCAGAAAGGAATAAATCTGTACTATATTAACCAGTCAATGTGGTTAATAAATAAGTGGTGCTGTAAATCATGTGAAATTTATTTCCAAACTCTTTAAAGTACTGCTGTGTTCTGAATTGTCTGGTACTGTTCAAAAGTCACTTGGTTGTGGTGCTGTAAAAACTTCTGCTTTTTGTGGCTGTATGCTTTCTTCAGTGTATTTGCCCAACAGTGTTTCCTATTTCCTGAATGGAAAAATTCTTCTTTGAGAGAAAACAAGTA